GAAAATCTGACAACAAAAGAACTGAGACCAGGACCGATTGAAGAACGAAAATCACGACCAAAACCGATAACAGAAGAACTGACAACAAGCAAACAGAGACGACGACCGGTAACAGAAAAACGAACACCAAAACCCAAGAGTAGTCAGAGACAGGTCCTTTAATTAAAGATGTCCTTTTAAACCCCCCCTCACACATACGCACGCTGTGCAAATTAAGAAAAGAATCTAGTAGCACTTTTATATCTTATAGAGTCCAAAAAAATCATGAAAGTCTTTTTTAGCAGTTAGGGCAGGGAAGAGGTAGTGTTCGCTCGTAAACCCCTAAATATGTTTAATCCTTAAAATTTTCATACTATTTTTTAATATTACTTCTATAAAACTATTATAATTTTTTAAACCTTTTTAGTGTCCCCCATCTTTTATGTTGGTTTTTTTGGGTTTTTTAATTCTGTTTTTTCATTGTAGTTTATAATTGACATGAAACCATTGACGATTATCATTGACTGAAGTTTAACCCCGCAAATAAATTTTTATGGGGTCAAATTGGGAAATAAATTATTTGGCACGAAGTCATTGACAAATAATCATTGATATGATGTCATTGACGAATAATCATCAAAGCAACGTCGTTGGTGCAGAATAATTGGCATACAGTCATTGATACATAATTATTGACATGAACTTTCTGACGCACAATTATTGACATGAAGTAACTGACATCGAGTTACCTAGAATGTGACAGTATTCACATAACGCTTATATCAGGCTCACTCTATATCTTCGTCAGTAACTTGGTCAGGAGAGGCCGGTACCTATCTATGTTTTCATCAGTAACTTGGTCAGGAGAGGCCCGTTCTTATCTATGTCTTCTTCAGAAACTAGGTCAGGAGAGGCCAGTACTTAAAAGTCCTTAGACCATATATTACGCGGTTAGTATATCATGTGATCTACATGTATATTAAGTTACAGTGTCTAGTGTCTAAGATCATAACTTCTAGTGTCACAAATGAACTTTACTAGTGTCTCAAATGACCTTTATTCAATCATTGTTTCTAACGTCTCAATTAACCTATTTTCAGTCCTAGCTTCTAGTGTCTCAATTGAGATTTATTAAATCATAGCTTCTAGTGTCTCAATTGACCTTTATTCAATCATTGTTTCTAGTGTCTCAATTAACCTATTTTCAGTCCTAGCTTCTAGTGTCTCAATTGAGATTTATTAAATCATAGCTTCTAGTGTCTCATTTGAGATTTATTAAATCATAGCTTCTAGTGTCACAATTGAGATTTATTAAATCATAGCTTCTAGTGTCTCAATTGACCTTATTCAGTCATAGCTTCTAGTGTCTCAATTGACCTATATTCAGTCCTAGTTTCTAGTGTCTCAGTTGACCTATATTCAGTCCTAGCTTCTAGTGTCTCAATTGAGATTTATTTAATATTAGTTTCTAGTGTCTCAATTGACCTTTATTCAATCATAGTTTCTAGTTTCTCAATTGACCTATATTCAGTCCTAGCTTCTAGTGTCTCAATTGAGATTTATTAAATCATAGCTTCTAGTGTCTCAATTGAGATTTATTAAATCACAGCTTTTAGTTTCTCAATTGACCTTTATTCAGTCATAGCTTCTAGTGTCTCAATTGACCTATATTCAGTCCTAGCTGCTAGTGTCTCAATTGAGATTTATTGAATCATAGCTTCTAGTGTCAAAATTAACTTTTATTCAGACATAGCTTCTAGTGTCTCAGTTGACCTATTTTCAGTCGTCATAGCCTCTTGTATCTCAGTTCACCTATATTTAGTCATAAATTTTAGTGTCTCAGTTGACCTTTATTCAGTCGTCATAGGTGTAAGTGTCTCAGTTGACCTATATTAAGTCATAGCTTCTAGTGTCTCAGTTGACCTATATTAAGTCATAGCTACTAGTGTCTCAGTTGACCTATATTCAGTTCTAGCGTCTAGTGTTCTAGTTGACCTATATTCAGTCATTGGGTCTTGTGTCTCAGTTGACCTATATTCAATCATATCTTCTTGAGTCTCAGTTGGCCTAAATTCAGTCAGAGCGTTAATGTCTCAGTTGACCTATATTCAGTCGCCATAGCGTCTTGTGTCTCAGTTGACCTATATTCAGTCGCCATAGCGTCTTGTGTCTCAGTTGACCTTTATTCAGTCATAGCTTTTAGTGTCTCATTTGACCTATATTGAGTCTTCATAGCTTCTAGTGTGTCAATTGACCTATATTCAGTCAAAGCTACTGGTATCCCAGTTGACCTATACCAGTCGTCATAGCGTATTGTGACCAAGTTAACCTTTTTCAGTCATTGTGTCTACTGTCATGTGATCACTTATCACTCATAGCGCGTCAATTCACAATTGACCTATATTCAGTCATAGCTTCTAGTGTCTCAGTTGACCTTATTCAGTCATAGCTTCTAGTGTCTCAATTGACCTATATTCAGTCCTAGTTTCTAGTGTCTCAGTTGACCTATATTCAGTCCTAGCTTTTAGTGTCTCAATTGAGATTTATTTAATATTAGTTTCTAGTGTCTCAATTGACCTATATTCAGTCCTAGCTTCTAGTATCTCAATTGAGATTTATTAAATCATAGCTTCTAGTGTCTCAATTGAGATTTATTAAATCACAGCTTTTAGTTTCTCAATTGACCTTTATTCAGTCATAGCTTCTAGTATATCAATTGACCTATATTCAGTCCCAGCTTCTAGTGTCTCAATTGACCTATATCCAGTCCTAGCTGCTAGTGTCTCAATTGAGATTTATTGAATCATAGCTTCTAGTGTCAAAATTAACTTTTATTCAGACATAGCTTCTAGTGCCTCAGTTGACCTATTTTCAGTCGTCATAGCCTCTTGTATCTCAGTTCACCTATATTTAGTCATAAATTGTAGTGTCTCAGTTGACCTTTATTCAGTCGTCATAGGTGTAAGTGTCTCAGTTGACCTATATTAAGTCATAGCTTCTAGTGTCTCAGTTGACCTATATTAAGTCATAGCTACTAGTGTCTCAGTTGACCTATATTCAGTTCTAGCGTCTAGTGTTCTAGTTGACTTATATTCAGTCATTGGGTCTTGTGTCTCAGTTGACCTATATTCAATCATATCTTCTTGAGTCTCAGTTGACCTAAATTCAGTCAGAGCGTTAATGTCTCAGTTGACCTATATTCAGTCGCCATAGCGTCTTGTTTCTCAGTTGACCTTTATTCAGTCATAGCTTTTAGTGTCTCATTTGACCTATATTGAGTCTTCATAGCTTCTAGTGTGTCAATTGACCTATATTCAGTCAAAGCTACTGGTATCCCAGTTGACCTTTACCAGTCGTCATAGCGTATTGTGACCAAGTTAACCTTTTTCAGTCATTGTGTCTACTGGCAGGTGACCACTTATCACTCATAGCGCGTCAAGTCACAATTGACCTATATTCAGTCATAGCTTCTAGTGTCTCAGTTGACCTACATTCAGTCATAGCTTCAAGTGTCTCAGTTTTCCTGTATTCAATCGTAGCTTCTAGTGTCTCAGCTGACCTTTATTCAGTCATAGCTTCTTGTGTTTCAAGTGACCTATATTCAGTCTTAGCTTCGATTGTCTTAGCTGACCTATATTCAATCATAGCTTCTAGTGTCTCAATTGACCTATAATCAATTATCGCTTCTAATGTCTCAGTTGACCTTTACTTAGTCGTCAAACCGTCTAGTGTCTCAGTTGATCTGTACTGAGTCATAGCTTCCTACGACTCAGTTTACCTATATTCAGGCAACGCTTCTAGTGTCTAAATTGACCTGTATTCAGTTACAGGTTCTAGTGTCTAAATTGACCTGTATTGACCTGTATTCAATCATAGCTTCATGTGTTTCAATTGACCAGATTCAGTCATAGCTTCGATTGTCTAAATTGACCTGTATTCAATCAAAGCTTCTTGTGTCTCAATTGACCAAATTCAGTCATAGTTTCGATTGTCTTAGTTGACCTATATTCAATCAAAGCTTCTTCTGTCTCAGTTGACCTATATCTAAAAATATCGTCTTGAGTCTCAGTTAACCTGTATTCAGTCATAGCTACTAGTGTCTCAATTGACCTGTATTCAGCCATAGATTAGTGTGTCTAAATTGACCTATATTTAGTAATAGCTTCTTGTGTCTCAATTGACCAGATTCAGTCATAGCTTCGATTGTCTTAGTTGACCTATATTCAATCATAGCTTCTAATGTCTCAATTGACCTTTATTCAATTATCGCTTCTAATATCTCAGTTGACCTTTACTTAGTCGTCAAAGCGTCTAGTGTCTCAGTTGACCTGTATTCAATCATAGCTTCCTACGACTCAGTTTACCTATATTCAGGCAACGCTTCTAGTGTCTCAATTGACCTTTATTCAGTTACAGCTTCAAGTGTCTAAATTGACCTGTATTGAGTCATAGCTTCTTATGTATCAATTGACCTATATTCAGTCGTCAAAGCGTCTAGTGTTTCAGTTGACCTGTATTCAATCATAGATTTTAGTGTCTTAATTGACCTATATTCAGTCATAGCTTCTTGTTTCTCAATTGACCTATTTTCAGTCCTGGCTTCTTGTGTTTCATTTGACCTATATTCAATCATAGCTTCTTGTGTAACAATTTACCTATATTCAGTCGTCAAAACATATTGTGTCTTAGTTGACCTGTATTCAATTATAGCTTGTAGTGTCTCAATTGACCTATATCCAGATAATATATCTAGTATATCTGATGATTTATTTTCAGTTTCAGTGTATCAGCTTATAGTGGATAGTGTGTTATTGTTATAGCGTCAAGTATCATACCAATTATAGTTGACCCAGTGTATCAGTAAACTTAAACATAGAAATACTATCTAGTGTAACTTTTGGCCAACCAAGAATTCTTCAAAGTGTAGGAGGGACTTTTTTAAATTTCTTAAAGACTTTGTTTAGATATCTTAGCTACTCAAAAGAAAACTGAAGTTTTAAAGTTATATCAATCCAACTCAGTTTTTTTTAAATAATTTAATGCATTTTAATACTGTTTTCTAAAACGCATAAACAAGAATAACGCAAGTGTATAAAATAAACAACACAACAACAGTGCATCGCTAAAGCATATCAATGCCTATATACATGTTATTTGAATTGTAATTTTTGAATTTCCTAATTACATCACAATTTATAAATACATGCACACACACAACATATATATTTTTGTATTTGCATATCAAATCTTTTAAAAATGTTCGATGGTCCGCGATTGATTTCAATAAATAAATTGAATTGTCTAACCCTTTCTTGAAAACCATTGAAACACGTGATCTGACTGATTACCGGAAGTTCATATTACCGGAAGTATACGCAACCGGAAGTTTATGTCACTGTTACATTTAGAATTACCGGAAGTTGTGGCTTAACGAGTCAGGGTGGCAGGTAGCATACATATTTTATCATATTAATATATGTATGATCATTTGTCCGAAATGGATGGTGAAAAAAAGCGTTAGCAAATGGCAAACATCACACATTCAGTATCAAAACATGTAATTAGCACCGATTTAATCAAAATTATGAAACAAGCATTACACCAGACCACCTCAAACACACGCGAACGTTTTCTTACTAATCAAATCACTGAAAGTATGAAAGAAAAAAAACCATTCTTACATAAGTATCAGGATTAGTAAGTTTCCTGGTTCAAATGCCATTTGTTGCAATGGGCACATTAGCAATTTGAAAGATAGAGTAACCGAATCAGTACAATACGTAAATTAAGACGTTACGAAATAATACTTCTTTTTGAGAAAAAATATAATCAAATAAATAATGCATATGGCATTAAATCAGTGTCTCAAAAGTCTTTTCAATCAAACATAAACAAAAATAACCATGTCAAACACGAGCATCATGTATTCCTTATAAATGTGACATAATAATGCGCAATGAGCAGTTCAGATGTAGATTTGCTAAAAAATAACGTATATTAAAAAATTTGCACACTGCGACAAATTATGAGTATTGTGCCTTAAATATTAAAAATAAACTTCTTGATTACCAATGTTTTAATTTTGGCACTTTTGGCTTTATTTGTAATGTAAGTGTCAAATACATTAGCAGCAACATAAAATGTAGTCACAGTAAAAACAACATCATCTTACAAAGCAAAACAACAAACCAGATGAATCTCAAACATATTGCCACATGAAACAAGCTTACATTTCAAACACTATTTCAAGCTCAATTGTTTAACATAATGAGCTTAAAGTTTAAATGTTAAACATTATAAGATTAGATATGAAATATAGAGCTTAATTTTTTTAGCTTACTGAGCTTCATTGTTTAACAAAATGAACATAATGTTTTGCCATAAAGAGCTTTATTGTTAAACATAATAAGCTTAATTATGAAATATAGAGCGTACTGAGTTTAATTGTTTAACATAACGAGCTGAATTCTTTACCATAAGGAGCTTAAATGTTTAAATAATGAGCTTAATCATGAAATTTGGAGCTTAACTACTAAGCAAACTGAGTTTCATTGTTTAACATAAGGAAGTGAATTGTTTATCATATTGTGCTCAGTTATGAAATTAAGAGCTTAATCTCAAAGCTAAATGAGCTTCATTGTTAAACATAAATGGCTTCATTGTGAAACAAAAGGAACTTAATTGTTAATTAATTGTTACAGAGCTAACTTATTGAGCATACTGAAATTCATTGCTTAACATATGAGATAAGGAGCTGAATTGTTTGACACAAGAAGCTTAATTGGTCGACATGAGATGAAATGTTAAGCATATGCGCTTGATTTAGTAAATATATTAGATTTAACTGCTTAACTTACAAGCTCAAAACAGTGAAACAGTCTTAAAATACAAGTGAGCCACTTGTTCTAGAATGTGAAGAATTAGATCACCACCACAATCCATATCATACATATAAAGCTCAACATAACAAAAGCTCAACTGTTAACCATAATGCGGTCAATTGTTTAACTTAAAACATTAAATCACAACAACAACATATGTTAAACACAATGCTTTATCATTCATGGCTCTTTGCACATTTGTCGACGCAGGTGCCTGACGTCTAATATCCCATTCTTACCTTCTTTTATCTAACCTGTACCTTAACGAGTCAGGGTGGCAGGTAGGGTAGGGTAGGGTAGGGAGTGGGGTTGTGTTCAACACCAGGTACCTGTGACCGTTATCACTGTATAATATCAAAAACAAAATTTAATCTTTGCCTACTTTTGGCAACTAAATATACCACTGTGACCAGTGCAAGACCAGGACTAGCCGGAATATCCACGCCAACTGATCATTGATCTGCACTGTTCGTTATTCAGTCAATACCTATTTTGAAAATTGTCCTAAAAATGATATATGGTTTTGTCCATTTGAAAAGATGGACGAGTTCATTATGATATTTAGCGTGGTAAGGGTAAATGCATTTATTGTTTGGTATCAATATACCAAGTATCAATTCTCTAAACTCATTGGCATCTTATTATAAGATAAAACAAATATTTCAAGCTGCGTCACATAGCATCAGGATATATCTATGGACGTTCCATTAAACTCATAACAATGTCAGTGGTTCAGATTTTAATCGACGAAATGCGCAGTCATGATACTTTCTGATGTAAAAGTGAATAAAATTAGCACTGCCCCCTAGTGACCGTTGTAAGATTATTACTGAAATATGCAATAACAAGACTTGTCAAATCTTGCCAACTGGGAATTGCTTCTTACCAAGTTGCTTATTAGTGTTGACAAATATTTCTGTAGGAACAGGAAAATTGCACTTGAGGAGCAAAAAACATGGTTTTTGGAAACATGAAGTTACAATTGGACGGTATAGTTGACAAATTATTCGAGTTAAGCCAAAATTGTATTGAAGCTGAATAAAGAGTCATGAATGTTTCTATATTATGTATATATATATTTATATTTTGAGATCAGTAAAATACAAAACATAAGCACATGAAGCCCAAACAGTCCATCTTGCTTTCGTAAACATGGTATTAATATGGTATATTTGGCACAAAGTGTTAACAGGATCGAGATAACCTCGACTGCTGCATTGAGCAAAGATTTTTGTGTTCATTTTCGCTGCTGTAAAACACACATTTCTGCTTGTCAAGCATCTGAAAGCTGTGTTTGGTTAAGACAAATTGAGCAAAATATTCAAAAAAGCATGCCTGTTAGAAATGGCCACACGTTTTAATACTAGACAAGCGGGTTAGTTTAGCTAGCTGGTCATCGATCCTAGGACCTCTTCTACCCGCCCGCAAGGCTCGACCCGGGGTATCAGGGAGTGGACTGATTGACCGGGTTTCATTTAAGCCCTAACTTACTCGGGTACCAATCATTTTGTCCGTTCGTGACGTATTTGTCAACGTAAGGTCTAATTCTTCACCGTCATTACACATTGGTGTCTCTGTTAATTTAGATCTGGTTACCCCGCCTCTTGGTGTCCGGTTAATAGCAATGTTTGGCAAGTTTATATTTATAGATTCCTCAGAATGTTTTACCTTTTTCTTAAGCAAAGGTTGAACTATAAATGTATCACTATCAAGAATAGGGTCACTGTGTCCTCTTCCGTCACTTATACTCGTGTAAAGGGGATTTTCCATAGATCCAACTAAATCGTGGTTTCCAATATACATTTTCACAATACCTGCGGCGGCCATCTTGCGTGGAGCAAGTCGGTCAAGGTCATTTCTATCCCTCCATGTAGAACCGCTACTAAACACTGGTTTCTCTTTCGGATTTACAGCGCCGCCTATGCACAGTTGATCTTTTTCTTCGTCCGGTGATTCTGCGCGCACACCTGGTATACTGACGTGGCGCGGTTTGATTGGTCGAAGTTTCTCCATGTTTGTTTTACCGGAAGTAGTGCCGGGATTATGAATGGCAGCGTAACGACGGAGTTGAGCAAGTCTATCTGACTGATCGTTGGTGTCCGGTTCGACTGGCGCTATTATGGTTCTTGACCTCGAGATTTGTAACTGGAAAAATAAAGTTTTAATAATAAACAAGTGACATATTTAACACGTGCAATAGTGAAAGAGATATATTAAAGATAATTAATATAATGCTGATTCATTTTCAATGAACACTTTTTCAAATACTATTTTAAATCATAAAAGATTAAAACATTTTTACAACCGTAACGATTGAAAAAAAAAATATACACATAATGGTGAATTTCAAAAGGTTGTGGTGTTATTGAACTGTGACCTCATGTGAAAGAACCGTGTCCAAATCAACAACAACAACAACAACAACTAAAATGCATGTACAGTTGTATAATTATATAAAACCCTTTTTCTAAAAAAGAAAACTTTGTGTTCCAAAGTACTCTATATTCATTTTTATGTGTAAAATTGTTAGTATCCTATATATATTTATATTACAGAAAGGCTTGCGATCTATGCTAACAGGTGCGCAGTCTTCTCGCCTCGTGTGAAGTGAGCAACTGAAAGAGTATGATGACAATTTTTTCTAAAAATGTTTTTTTGTTTTTTGCTGTTGTTTTCCTTTCCCTCTTTAAAGAAAAAACAAAACATTTTCAAACAAAGTGTTATGCTTCATTTTGTATCATAAGTAAACACGTACACATCTATCTTTAATAATTGTTCGTGTTTAGAATCGTGTGGAGATAAATACGGAAGCGTCCTGGTGCCAATTTATAATGTTCTGTAAAGGAGATAAAAAGCCTAATAAGGAGTTTATAACTCCTACGTAGATCTTTATAACTCCTTCTTCGTAAGAATTATTACTCCTTCGTAGGACTTTATAACTAGGGAAGAAAAAAGCCTATTTAGTAGTTGTAACGTAGGGGTTATAATGTCCTACGTAGGAGTAATAAAGTTCTATGTAGGAGTTATAAAATCCTATTTAGGCTTTTTATCTCCTACGTAGGAGTTATTCTTTTTATTGAACATTATAAATTGGCATCAGGACGCCCCCGTATATTTGCAAAAATCGATCACATGTTCTGATAATGTAACTAATACAATTCTGCACACTTTGATATCAACTGTGCCTAAATTTTTCGTTTAAATCAAGTGCATACTTTTTTGATGTTAGCATATGCAATATTTTAAGGGCTCTTTAAACTTGAATACTCAAAGCTGACATGCAAGGACACTATTCTGCTTGTTTCGTTTACCATTACTGTGCAGAAAATCTACGTCACAGAGTGTGTTATGTCATAAAACGAATACCTTTGTACAAAAAGTAAATCTTCAAAGGGATTACTTGTCTGAAAACATTAAAACACATATTAAATGTATATGAAACAGTGTGCACCACTTGAAAGAAATAATCCATAACCTGAACGTTCCTAATACAATAATAAAAACTTGAAATGTAACAAAACAAAGATAGTTTGATATTGGGAGAAATTGTACAAAACATATAGTTTGATATTGAGGGAAATAGTATAAAAAAGATAGAGATATATTGAGAGGGAAAATACAAAATAGAGTTTGATATTGAGAGAAATAATACAAATAGGATACAGTTTGATATTGAGGCAAATGATACGAAAGAGATAGATTTTGATAATGAAATAAGTGAAACAAAACAGATAGAGTTTTATATTGAGAGGGACGATACAAACAGATTGAGTTTGATATTGAAATAAGTGAAACAAAACAGATAGAGTTTGATATTGAAATAAGTAAAACAAAACAGATAGAGTTTGATATTGAAATAAGTGAAACAAAACAGATAGAGTTTTATATTGAGAGGGACGATACAAACAGATAGAGTTTGATATTGAAATAAGTGAAACAAAACAGATAGAGTTTGATATTGAAATAAGTGAAACAAAACAGATAGAGTTTTATCTTGAATGGGACGATACAAACAGATAGAGTTTGATATTGAAATAAAAGAAACAAAACAGATAGAGTTTTATATTGAATGGGACGATACAAACAGATAGAGTTTGATATTGAAATAAAAGAAACAAAACATATAGAGTTTGGTATTGAAATAATTGATACTAAACGGATAGTTTAGTAAGAGAAAAGATACAAACAGATAAAGGAAACGATACAAAATATATAGCGTTTGACAGTGAGAGAAATGATGAAAACAAATAGAGTTAAAACAATTCTTTTCTCCTTTTTTTGCAAATGATTTACATAACTCTTTTATGTCATTTTCTGTGGATCTAAACTCTATACATATAAATTTCTAATATAATTCTATTTAATTTCTCTCGAATATTCAAAACTTTAAAGCTATGTGAACGCCACAGTGTATTGATATAAAAGTTTTGAAAATGTGACTTATATTTAGTATACAATGTTAGTAACAGTGTATATACATGTAAATAAGCTTTGCATTTTGTGGCGAAAGACTTCCATGCAGTTTTAATTATCTACAGATTTAACGGAAGTTATAACATAAACAATCGGCAAAGTTCGCCACTTTCCGTGTCTAATAAAATCAATAAGCATCAGTATGACCAAGATCAAATTCATCAACTTTAAATTGAATATCTGATACGAAAAGTAACGAAATTCGCCGAACTTATATCGACAATCGATGGCTAAAAGTAGTTCAAGAAAACAGTTTTACCATGATTAAGTTATTATACGCATGCTTATTTAGGAAATGAATATTAAATACATTGGTTTTGAAATGGGTACCCACGCTTTAAAAATCATGCGTGACTATATTTAGATTTTGCTTGATTTATCACGTGCATATCATGCTTTATCTTAACGTGTTTTGAGCAGTTATTTATTATCATACTACTGTACTTAAGATATGTTAATTGAGTCGGAGACGTCACGCAAAAACCGGCGTCACGTGACGTTAGAAAGCTCAAGCTGAATATATAAATTCTGTAACTTATTAAAGAAAATATTAGTCAATTTTTAGTTCAAATCTATTTTAAAAATACACGACCGAACGTACCGCTTTAATCTAAAGTATATACATAATATAATTTTGAAGATTCAAAGGTAGATCAGTTAAAAGACGTTATCTAGTAACAGAATAATTTAAATGGCTAAATGATTAAGCTTTTACTTAAATAGTCTTCAATTCTTGTAAATATATAATAGAATTATTTATCAACTTGATATATACTTAATTCTGACATGAGTGGTAATATAATATAGACTTACAGAAGACAAACTAACGTAATACAGGGTTAATAATGACGTCATGTGTCTTACATAATTATAGTAATACATAATCACACCGTATAACCGGCGCCAAAGATGACAGATTGTTGCAGTGATGACAGAAATCTAAAAGTTTCTGATTATTACAGGTAGGTTATAAACTTGGTTGGTATATCTATATTACGCAAATGAGGTCATTTCGTTGTCATAGACTTAATGACCATTAACTTGAGATACGCAAACGTAATTTTTGACTCGTTTCTCCTTTCCATAAGATATTCTGTGCGGGTTATAAAATGACCGTGAAAATGTTTCTTTTTGTTCAAAATATCTCAAGTTTGAAATAAAGGAAAGGAATTTCGTCATGTACAAATACACATTCATCAATTAGGGCCATGCATGTTAAATATCAACCCAGTGTGTCTTTTCTTGAGAATTCAATGTAAAATACCATTGAATTGATGGAGTTCGTTTTAATTACAGCAGTCTGTTATCACTTGCGCCGGTAATACAGTGTGGCAATGGTTGTATTACATTTAAAACAAGGAAGAAACTATACAATATATAAAAGATATGTAATGATATAGTGTATACTAAACAAATATATACTGTAAACAAAGGACCTACACATATTACCTACAAATGATTAAACATACCCCGAAATTTGATTCTGTGACTTGTGGCGGTTGATTGGTATATTTCCGTGGCTGCTGCTTTGGCACGTGATGCGTGTACTGTCTCTCGTCCATATACGGTGTTTCAGGAACCCGGGCCACTCTTTCTAACAAAGAATTTTTCTTACTTCCTTTAAACAATGGACTTTCCATTAACGTAAGTTCACTTTTAAAAGACAAAGAACTGTCTAAATACTTGTGTCTTGACCTATTTACACTTTCTCTTAATTTACTAGGACTAGGTTCTCTGAATTTGGTAGGACTAGATTCACGACTTTCTCTATGTCGACTCAACCGTGAAAGTTTCTCCGGTGACCTTGGCCCTTTTAATCGTATCTCTTCCATTTCCGAGAAGTCAACATGTTTTCGCGACAGGCCTGTTGTTTCGTGTGGCAAGGTGAAAGCGTTTGCGGGCGTTCTACTCAACTGCACTACCTCGGACACAGGCGTTGTAGAACTCCTTAATTTCTCTCTTTCGTATTTCTGGGGATCAAATTCCTTAAATTTCTTTTCAGGTTTGATTTGTTTGTTCATAAGTTTGTCAAATTTTCTGTTTGTTATTTCTTGTACAGGACTAGGAACACGGGAAAGTGTTGTAACACTGCTGCTTGTGTTACTGCTGGTAGTTGTTAACGTCATTGGTGATGTAGCGGCGTCTGCATATGACGTCATCGGTTGCACGGGAAGTTGGACTATTAACGTGGCAGCCGATCTCGTGGTACTCAAATTATTTCGGTCCGTCTCCTCCCCATTTTCATTTGCAAAATAAAACTCTGGACTTGGGGTACGATCTGAAATAAAAACAATTAGATGGCCATAATAGTAAAGATCAATTGCTGGATAAAAACACTCGAATATAAAAAGTGCATAATTTATATCACTTTAACCCAGACCAAAGTATTTGTCATAAAGCATATACATCAAAATCATGAGTTTTGGTTTAAACAGTATTTATTTTATATAATGCAAACATTTACAATTATGGTACAACAACATAATAATATATAACAGGATTGAAAAGGAAGTCAAAGACTTGTGAATATTTCTTTCCAGATCATCATCATGAGTTTTATTTTCTTTACTTTATGTATTTCAGAAAATTTTATCGAGTACATTTAAACAATTGGTTTTAAAAAATCAATAAAAAAGAAAGATGAAGAAAATAGAAAAAGCGTACATGATTTATTGATGTCCGGTGTTGGGGCATAAAAGTCTGCAATACTGACTGTTGTCTTCTCCCGCTCCATAGTGGTTTGTTCCCGTTTAAATAATGGACTAGTTATTTCCGCTTCCGAATCAGTCATTTCCTCTTCATCGTCATCGTTGTCATCCTCGAACTTATAAGATAAAAGAGATTTTGAGAAGCTTGAAATGAATCAAGACTGCATCAAAGGAAAACCAAACACGATCTTCGACAGAGACAACATCGATACAGAGACAACATCGATTTTCAAACATACTTTTCAACTTTTCAAGAAATTTTTATTTTAATTTGCAATTTGTAATTTGATGTTTTCTGACAAAATTACCTGTATCAAGATTTCTTAATTTTGCGTTAGTCGAGACCCATTTTTTTCGGGTCTGTATGAACATTGAAGACATAGGTACTTAAACAATTTGTTATGTTCAGTATGGAAGTCTTAAATAGTCATTGTTTATACAAGTAATCGAAATAGGAGCAAATATTACATCGATAGTACAAGCTACAAATCATAAGTCATAAGTCAATATTGCACTACCGGCCTTCCATAGTTCTCTTTAACAATAGAGGAACTTTACTATGATATAACCACTCATGGTTCTTACCTCAGCATCTAAAGCATTGTTGTTTGTCACTTGTTCGTCTGCTGATTCTCCAGATTCCGTGTCTTCACGTAGCAACAATTCTACATGTACAAGACAGTTAAATAAGATAATATAACATTGAATAGGTTCCAAAGAACAGATATTCTATGATATTTGGACATATTTGGACATGGTTAAACCAAAGCAAAATTGTTTGCTATTTTGAGCAAACATTACTGTTTGAATTTGATACGCTACTGTTCATGTGTGAAACAAGATTCTTAAATGCTTATATGCAAATAATGTATCATGGATTTCCTAAGATAAATCTGTTTGTCCATATAACCAACAAAATGATATTATACGCATTAAGACAATTGATCTCGGCATTTTCCGTAATTTTCCGCCAATAGTCGAGACTGAGTACAAACATACATTGTACGTTTGAAAACTGGCGCTTATCTGAATAAAAATGTATTATTTAAATGATTAAACTAATGATGTTTACATTAGTAATTATAAATACTGGTATATATAAAAAATGTAATTTCTTTTTTCAGAAAATGTGACATTTTATAAGATGGCACCAAAAAAAATACGAGAAAATACTCACGAGGCCGGCCAATCATAGCAACGGCGTGCCAAGAACCGCAAAATATTTTTGCTATACGACCACCACGGAAATTTTTATTGACGCCATGAGGTAGGAATATTTTGTGGGATGTTGGTTTATCTGGAAGTATTGTATGACTGTTCTTTCCCCACATGTACAGGAGTCCTTTTTCTGCAAAAAACAAAAAAAACATACTGACCTGACATGCATATCTTTTCCTGCTAAATTGTAAATAATCAATTGGACGTATTCGATTTGTCGAAGAAGCACTGTTTACATTCAGATCATAGGGGGTTCGAACTCGACCATGACCTTGTTTCTATGACTTGGATAGCTACTAAGGTACTCATGTGTGTAAATTAAATGTATTCTCACTCACAAAACAAACAAACTATATCTTAATTAAGGTACTCGGCCGCGGTAAACATGATTTAATTGTTACTTAGATATTCCTTAAACATTTGAATAATATCATAGCACAAGGAACGCATGTCCGGAATAAACCGGAAAAGGGATCGATGGCTTATAGCCTCTAAATATACCGGAAGTGGAGATGTAAACAGACAACCTACGGCCGAAAAAGCAAACAATGAAATATACTGGTTGGGGAGATAACTTCGGCTGGTTGATAAACTCGGCCTTTTATAATTTAATCGAGTTATCGGTTTTTTTTACGCTAATCAAGCTTACCATCTCGTACGAACGCTGGAATTCAACAACATCTGGAAATTTTGTCAAGTTTGGTAAGATATTTAAAAAATAACACAGACTTTCACCTTTTTGTTTACAAAACATGCCTATAAAAAGTACGGGAAATCCGATTGATGTGCGCATGCGCAGTAGATGCTCGTTTTGAGGCCCGTACAGGGCTACTTTTATTTATTGGCCGACTATCGGTAAAGCAGACGACGTTACCAGATGCAATTTGTAGATGAAATTCAGACTCACTTTTGTCTTGCTAACTCAGAAAAAAAGACTGTTTGGAAATTTAGTCACAAACGTCATATTTTAGTGCATTTGATTGAAATGTTTAATGGTTTTTTATATATAAATAAATATAGTGGTATTTAACCTACACAGTAATTATTGAAATATATGACATATATAGAGAAATAGTAACCCACCTGTTACCGCAGCGCTAAATGCCTCGCCACAATCTATTTGAATACATTTACATGTCACGTGACGGTCTTTCACTCGCTTAGGCGAAGACAAAAATTTAATTTTCTCTCCGTGACCCAACTGACCGTCGTGTCCGTATCCCCATGTGTACACACTTCCATTGGCTGTAAAACAAACTCACATGTAAGTTTTATTATACAACAATCTAAGTAGACATCCAGCTTATGAAAGCTTTTTAAAAATATGTTTAACCTCTTGCAATGATGATGGACATATTTATAGAATTTATCACATACCATTAAAACATTTGTTTCCAGAACACACTATTTAGTGTAATTTTAAAAATCAATACTTTGCACCACGACACAATTAAAATTTAGGTATGTTTTAATGGCAAACGACAAATGCATTGGAAACAAAATTGTGACAATGTTTTAGTGCACAACCTCTGCAGAGCTGCAACCTTTGTAGAGCAATAATCTCTTTACAAAAGTTTTGATTCAAAGTAGGACTCAACCTCTCTTCAGCGACACCTCCTTGTCTCTCAAACTCAAAGGGGCTGATGGCCGCTATACAGAGGTTGTTCTGTTTATTTTTAGGAAATGATAAATATACCTGTTAATGCCATGGAGTGTGTACTGCCGCCCGCCACAGATATTACATTGTTTCTATGTGTTGATAATTTAACAGGTTCTAACACATCATCCGTCTTGTTGCCACATGCTCTACCATATCCCCAAGCATATATCTCACCAGATTCTACAAATAGAGTTATTTTGCTTCAAGAGTGCGAGACAATAGTGGTTAAAGAGAAGTATGTGCTAACCCACAGAAAATCTGTGCTAACCCACAGAAAATAGTTTCAAATAAAATGATAAAGAATAAAAAAAAATCAAACCAAAATAAGAAAATAAATAAATAAAAATGTGTTAAATAAATGTGTACCTATTTAAAAAATATATTAAGCTTTGTTTGGTTTATGCAAAATATGCAAAACATGAATGTATTTACTATTTCTATCAAGATCTGTGAGAATGGCGGTCGATCTGTATGGCGGTGCGAATTAGCGGCCTAGCGATCAGAATTAACGGCCTAGAGGTGTGACGGTTTCCAAAACATGTACTCGTTACCTATATACCTGATCCATCTTATACTCCATTTGCATTTTTGAACTTATACATGTACTGATTTAATTAGTATTTTGCTTTCTTCAGTAGATGATCAACAAATTATGCTATTAATCCATTACTTAAAATAGTATAAAACATGAAAAAAGTATTCTAATTCGGCTGACCAGACATTCGTAAAGGTAGCATTTTATTTGGTCCAGAGCATAGCAGTCCATTCCTTCGCAGCCATTTTACGCATGCGCAAAACCTCGCCTTTTATTTATTTATAGAAATGTGTAATCTGTAGATGGTCGATGTCTTCGTCTAGCTTGAATTCCTATATTCTTAAACTTGATAGTATTGAAATTATTTTAATAATAACGAAATGTTCATATTTTTCAAGCTTGTGTCTGAGGCTCGTGTTGCTCAAATGCATGAACTGTAAAAAAAGTTGTAGGATAAAATGGTTACCTGTAACAGCCAATGAGTGTTGAGATCCGGCAGCTATTGTTTTGATTGGTTGATTGAGTCCCTCCAGGAACTTTGGTATCGTCGCCTCTTCTCGATCACCCGTGCCAATTTGCCCGTGCGCATTGTTCCTGGTTGAAAATAGATCAAGTATAAAAATGAAAAAGTTTCAATTTTGCTTGGGAAATTACATTTCATTTGTTCGTATTTCCGTCCATATTCCAGAGTACACATAACCGTTTCTATCTCGCAGCTTAATATAAAATGTAAAATGCAATATGCAATATTTAATTTTCAGTTCTTAAGACATGACCATGGTCGACTAGTTAAGGTTACCGGTTACAAATCACAAAAATACAGCTACATTATGGAATGTCATTGGTTCAATTTAGGTGCTGTCCGCGTCTGAAATAGTGCTCGAAGGGGCACAAGATGTATTCCTCCAAAAGGAAGTAATTATGTTCCATAAGGTACGTTTGAAAGTCGCCATGTCCCTTTTACATTGTTGGTGTGACATTTAACCACACCAAAACTAATCATATCACTTCTCTGCCAAAAAGGAACAGAATCAGTGCCGAAAATCATGATGTTGTTCTGTGAACCGTTTTGCGTCATGAATTTCTATGAAAGAACCTTGCTGCAATAATCCTTATCTGATAAATATTTCCGCCTTAATTGCTATATTTATAACTCTATAGCAAATATAACTGTTACAGTTTTCTATTTTTAGAATGTTTAGAACTTACCCAACACATGCCACGCCGCCATCTTGGAATCGAAATATCGTATGCTTGTCTCCACATGCGACTTGGGCCACCGGCTTGTGTAGAAGGAACTTCAGAAGTGTGGGCTGAGTCTTCAAAGGAAAAAGTTTAAATCTCAATTACATTTTAATATAAAACATCAAAAAGGTGATATTTGTGTAGATAAAGCTAATTTTAAAACAATTTTAGTCTATTTTATTTCAACATTTTGATATATTTGAAATTGCTAGATATAGCAGACACATGTATCAAAATAAGTACTTGTTCAAAACATCTCTTCGCACAGACAAAAACATCACACAATTTAACTTAAATTTGCATAAACCACTGCATATATATTTACATATTGTTCTCTTTTTCAATTATTAGAATAGTATAATGTACTTTTCTGTTAATAAATTTGCATCAGACATATGTCGTGATAGGTAGGCATGTAATCTATCTTTAATTTCGACAAATTCCGTTCCTTTCCGTAACTATTCTAGTGATGAAAGCTTCGGGTTGTCAAGTTGTCTGAATTTCCTGAGAATAACGAAAAGTTACGGAACAAGCCGAAGTTTCACGAGTGTAAGCAACTATTGCTCGTGACTTCTATGGAACATACAGATACAACAGAAGTTGTGTATTTTCAAACAAAACTCACTGCACACTATGGGTTGGTGTCAAAATAGGGACAGGTCCTCACGGTTAAGATACGGGTTCCAAGACCAACAAATAAACTATCAATAACTGGAGATATTAATTAGACAAGGTCACTCAAAGGGCATATGTGAGGGAAACTTGTTATAACAATTAAAAAAAACATGGCATCAAGCAGTGTTTTAGTTTCACACACAAAACAATTACCAAACACACAAACACGTGAAACTCGTGACGTAACTTACTACGCAATCGTTAGCGTTGTCGTCGTCATCGTCCCAGAAACTCTAAATTTGATATACATGTAGAATCTTTATCTTATAAATCGTCTTAGTCTCATTTTTATATCATGAACATCTTATAAAAAATTTTAGTCTCTTTTTTGTTTTATTTTTGTAATAATGAATGTTTTATTTTGTAACACATTTTGGATATGTGTATCTCACGAGTTGAATATAGTTGAGTTGAAAATTTTATGTATTTTATCCATATCTATAGTTATCTGTTACACAAGATGAGCATTTATACTATACGCAACTTTTTTTCGTGGTATGGCATGTCACATGATAACTGTCGCGCGGGGAGGTTACTTAATACTTAATCACACCAAATTAGATGTTGAATTTTGCATAAGCCGGTGCTAGAGGGCATGAACGACAACGTTACAACTACCTTCCACGGTCACAGGCTCTTGAAATGAAAAAGGGCCTACAACAAAATTAATTTTGCTTTGCTTGGCGTTCTTTATGGTTTCATATTACATTTTTACACATTTTTAGACAATCTTTCATTTAATCTTAATATAAAGAACACACTAATAATTGTGTATTCTTAAATATCAAGAGTAAATTCTTTTTTTACCATGACTGCAAAATAATAGACAGCACTGATTTTGAGAATTTGGCTCTCTATAAGATGCAAGAGGCATTTTGTAGTACAAGTGGTATCTTGGTGTATTTTACCTATTTAAGGTATGCTGAATCCGATAAAGGTGGATACCAAATTAAAAACTTGATCTTGACCATTGAAATAGCCATTTAAAATGACCACTTAAATGGCCGCCAAATTTCTTTATTATAAATGGATGATATATCAAAGAAAGGAAAAGCCGGAAATTTGTCACAAAGCATGTTTAGGTAAAAACAAATTAGACACCAAAACAGAATTAAAAGCACAAAACAATCCAATATGGCTGAAAAATCCAAGATGGCAGACATTTTTCTTTAGGCTAATATAATAGTAATATAGAAGTTATATTAAAGATAGTACTGAAAATTTTAAGGCATTTAAACATATTTAGGGTTTACGCAGCGAACACTACACTCTTTCCTGCCCTATATGCTAGATTTTATCTGGCACTCTATGCAAGCATATAGAGTGGATACTCGGATGCCTTCAGCGTTAAAACGTGTGCATGCAAAATATACATTAATGAAGGCATTTTCTCTGAGTTTTGGTGTTCGTTTTTCTGTTATCGGTCGTCGTCTTCGTTCTTCTGTTATAGGTTCTCGTCGCATTTCTCTGCTGTCAGTTCTTCTGTTATTGGTCGTGATCTTCGTTCTTCTGTAATCGGTCCTGGTCTCAGTTCTTTTGTTGTTAGATGTTCTGTTATCGGTTCTCGTCTCTGTTTTTCTGCTATCGGTCGTCGTCTTCGTTCTTCTGTTTTACGGTTCTCGTCTTCGTTCTTCTTCGTTCTTATGTTATCCGTTCTCGTCTCTATTCTTCTGTAATCAGAGTCCTGGTCTCCGTTTTCTTGTTGTCAATTTTTCTGTCATAGGTTCCCGTCTCTGTTATCGATCCCCGTCTCCATTTTTCTGTCATCAATCCTCGTCTACGTTGTCTTGTTGTCAGTTCTTCTTTTATCGGTCCCTGTCCTGTTCTGTTATCGGTTCTCGTCTTCGTTCTTTTGTCATCGGTTCTTGTCTCCTTTCTTGTTGTCAATTCTTATGTAAACCCGTCTCTGTTATCGATCACCGTCTCCATTCTTCTGTCATTAGTCATCGTCTATGTTCTTCTGTTATCGGTACCTGTTTCTGTTTTCCTGTTATCGGTCGACGTCTCTGTTTGCTTGTTGTCAGTTCTTCTGGTATCGGTCCCTGTCCTGTTTCTGTTCTTCTGTTAGCGGTCCTTGTCTCTGTTCGCTTGTTGTTAGTTTTTCTGTTATCGGTCCCTGTCTCTGTTCGCTTGTTATCGGTCCTCGTCTTTGTTCGATTGTTGTCAGTTCTTGTCTCCGTTTTTCCTTCTGTTATCGGTCGTCGTCTTCGGTCTTGTACTTTCGGTACTTGTTTCCTGTTCCGTTAAGGTCTTCTCTTGTTTCTATCGTTGCCGTCATTCTGTGTCTATGTCCTGGTTATGTCAATCTCGTAGTCATTTATTCGTTCAGTGGAGTAGCGGGGGATCGAACTCACGACCCCTTGATTTGTAGGCAGACAGTGTTACCACTGCACCATAGCGCCCGCTCTGAATAATAACCATTTTTGAAAATCCTTTATACATTAAATACTATTTCAATGGCTAACAAAGGGTGTATTACAATTATATTTTAACACCTCTACTATGTAGCCTACCCACGTGACTTTTATATGGTCAAAGAAAATATTACTCGATTTACAACAAATAATATTTTTATAGATAACTTTGCTGTTACTTTAAGATATCCTACAAAATATTTTTTAAATATTCATTTTAAAACATAAATACCATAATAAGTGCAAAATATATGAAAACACAATGAACAACTTAAAAAACAAATACTTAAAAAAATATCGTAGCTACAAATAATGTTGAAAATTACGGAACACCTGAAGTGATATTTTCCACACTTTCTCCCGGAATTGAATTCGTTTTTACGAGATAATAATTCCCAATTAGAAATATTATTTCGTTTTAACGAAATATAAAATCTTAATTATGAAATATTGATTCGTTATTACGAAATATTATTTCGTAAATACGAAATATTAATTCGTTATTACGAAATATTATTTCGTAATTATGGAATATTAATTTGTTATTACGAAATATTTATTCTTTGGTAATATTTATAAACTAAGCTTATTGTTAAATATAAGTCAAGTAAAAAAACATAAAAAGTGATTTTTTCAATCTTATTATTATACCTTAACGCGCTAGTAAAACAGTACTGTATATACTGTTTATTGAGCCATTAGGCTTATAATCGCTATATTTGGTGGCCAATCTCATTAAAATCTGATCATATTAAATAATCATTTGATTTTGACAAGAATAATTAATTGCATCATATTGTATCATAGTTTTAATGACCTATTTTAGTATTTTTAAGCGGCCATTTTGAATTGACCTTTTGAAGGACAAGGTCAATTTTATTTTCTTGGTATCCACCCTCATCGTCTTCAGCATACCCATATTAGGTTCAAACACTCAAGATATAACTTGTACTATAAAATGCCTCTAGCATTCATATTTTCTTAAACTCAGTCCATTCTATAAGACATGCGGCTTATTTATAAGAATTTGTTCACATACTAGGATAAAACTTCGATTTCATCAGTACGTAGTAATATGTATTCATTATGAATATAACATATATAGTAAAGAGTATGCCATTCTTTTCACATGCTTTGCTGTCTAAAGAAGTCTTGATTTCCGAATTCAAATTGAACTAAGTACATGTAATAAGTATTTATGATGTATGTAACATATATTATAGTAAAATGGAAAAGCATTGAAAGCAATGACATTCATTACATATGATATGCTGTCTAATATCATGTATACAATACATTCACGTATACGCTTATTAAGTGCTTTTTCAATTCAAAAATATTCTTCAAATGTACTACTTTTGGAGTATTCATCACCATGATAGGAAAATAATTCACCTGGTTTTCTTTGTAATTCTTTTGCCGGAAGTCGTAGCCAAGTTGGGCGTGGAAGTTGTTCCCGAAACTGAACACGTTTCCATTTTCCAGCCACACCATGGTGTGTCTCCCACCACACGACACACCGGCAACGTTGGGGATCGTGTCCTGGTTGGTATAAAGTGGAAGCCGTTGAGGCTCGAGCTTTGTTGTAATATCATTGGTGCCCAGCCTTTGAAAGAGCAAATCAGAAATTAAACATTGTGTTAAAAGAACAGCTCAGAGCGATGGTATATTTCATATTATTAAGCTCGTATTTATCTAGTATATACAATTGTAATACATTCCATCTATTGATGGTCTTCCTGTTATCTGTAAATATTCCTCAAAATTGAAAAAATGGTTTGGTCCGACAAGTCCATTTAAGATATTTCGTGCGACAAGGGTTAACAAGGGGACGGCCATTAACTGGGCATGCTATTAAATGCAACAACCAGTATTGTTTTTTGCATGATAATTTTAACTGCTTTTTGTGAAATCATGAAAAAACTTGAATACTTACTGCCCACTGTTGCCATTCCCCCATAGAAATAGTTCATTCGAATCTAGAAATAGAAAAAAAAGCTAACTGAAATACATTTTAATGTAAAAAGTAAAACATATCATTTTATATATTTTAATGATTATCATCAAGCAATCTTGTACATACCATTATACTATTAGTTATAAAGATTTTTGACAGGTTATATTGCCACAAATAAACGGTTGTTTGGAAATATAACCCAATTCGCTTTGCGAGGGTTATATTGCAAACAACCGTTTATATACGGTCATATAGCCTGTCAGGATTATTTATAACGAATTTATAATACAGAAAACTTCGTTTTTAGAGATAAAAAGTGAGATTTCTTTATAAATTTACAGCAGCCGTGTATATAAAACTATAAAAACGTCACGATTAGCCAATGAAAAGCGACGTTACAAACGTGCAGTTTTGTAAAATCCGGAAATATACACAAAATCTGATCGAATGATGATTCATAATCACCATCATTATCGTCTTCTTCGTCATCATCATCATTTTCATCATTATTATTTTTGCTGCTTTGGTGTTAAGCAAACTGGTACATGAGGGCAATATGGACTTTTATTGAAGACAATAACAGCAACGGAAATTTAAGCATATAGATATAAAGTTATCGTTATTTCCACAGATATACAACCACCGGTTGTAGAAAGAAGAAAGATTCAAGAAGCAATGGACTTTGAGGTCAAAGAAGCCAAGCGGTCTTAACGCTTTTATCTAATCTTTAAATAACAAGAATCATTAAAAGAATTTCTAAGCTAATACGAGTGTAACCTGCAAAACGTCATAACACGTGACTCCACGATTGAAAAAAAAACTATTATAGAGTGATTACTATTTCATCTGTTAGTATTCAAGAAGTACTATTAAAAATTTTGAAAAGTTTTAATAGCTGTAAATGCACGAACAGAGATTTTTATACTAGACAGACACAATCCCATTCATTATTTTCGTCTATTTTCTTTTCTTTTTTCAATTTTAGAATACGGGTTTTAGGTTCTAAGAGACAGGGGCTCGTTCCCGCAACTACAATTGCCCAACTGATTTAATAAATTCTCTGTATTAATAGAGCTGGCTGCCCGTATTTTGATGTGAACAGCTTTCCATTATATGCATTTATATTCGCGCTGGGAATTGGCGACGAATATAGTGCATTTCCAGCGCGTGAAAAACCGAAAACACTTAAATTATCAAGTATCCAATATGCATAAATCATTCAACTATTAACTGAATCTTCCACGTCTTGAAATAAAAGTATTGAATAAATATGAAATAATTGCAACATTCCTTTCAAAGTTTGATAGACGTCTTAAAATTTGTTGCCCCACATGACTTGTCAAGGGCGATAGAGTTTCAACCTCCCAGGAAACGTATAATCATATATCATTCCCGAATTATGCACATTATAAAACACATTAGCGTCATAAATTTTGACATTTTCGTGACTTCATTATCAATTTGTTCCGAGGAAGATTCTCTCGGCGAAATCACCGGGTATAACAGTTAATGTGCAAGACCAGAAACGACAAAGGCACTTTGCAGATTAGACTACGAACTATGTAGCCATAATGCAATGGATGGTAATCTTTTGTCAGGAGCAGGTCGATAAAATGTCGCAGAATATGCATTAGAAATTAGGGGCATTATCCTTATACTTCCTCAAAAAGGAAAGACCGGTGCAAGGCTCTAAATCTGAAATTAATTTTTGGATTTTTTGCAACATAATAATTTCAGGAACTTACTGCTAAATGGACCTTTTTGATGATTAGACAGGATTATTCATACTTCCAATTTAAAAGAAAATATAAGGTTTACAACCCATAGAAACTTAAGCATCTGATCATTATACAAAAAATTAATTGAAATACAGTTACATCATATGTATTTTCGAGAATCAACCTAGTGTATCACATAACTCCAAAAAATATGGCATTTCTTCATTTATTCGCGATTATTCACGATATTATCCGAACACCGACTAATCTACTTTGGCCAATAGAGGAAGCGTTGTTTAAGACGACGATTATGATCATCCGACCATCAACATGACCAGTAATCCAGGGTGAATTACACGGTGTTAATGTATCGTCCCTGATTTATGTAATTACGATCTTTATCGGTATAATCAGAGTACCTCCTAACTTCTCTTGGCTTTTAGAGGCTGTAGAAGACCAAAAACTGCTAAGGCTTCAATATTAATGACAGTATTTCATATTTTGTGAAGAAATAATGACGTCTCCCTGTTAACTTTTATTAACAAAGGGTGTAACGTAGAGGAAAATCAATGTCTTAATGATACCGCATGGTGATTTTGAAGATTGCATGTCAACGGTGTTGTAATTTTGTCTTACGAATTTCGGAAATCATACAATTTTTAGTTTTTTATTTTGTATCGGGAGGAAAATCGAACTCTGTGAGGACTGCAACAGAATATAGCGATTTTAAAGTTTAAAAGTTTTTAAAGGTTAAAAGATTTTATTAGGTTGTTAGATAAATATATTTGTATATATTATTAATATCTAAAATTGATTTTTAAGTAAAATGTCAGTTCAAGACTTTCGCAGAATGAAGGACTGATATATTTGTACATGTAATTATATCTTAGTTTCTGTTTACTATCGAACAGTACTGGAATTTGCTGCTTACTAGGCGGCTATACACGACCAACAGTAATAACTGTTCTCCTGCAAGACGGGTATTCACAACCTTTGTCTTAAGGACGGGTATACTATAAGACGGGTATACACAACCTTTGTCTTAAGGACGGGTATACTATAAGACGGGTATACACAACCTTTGTCTTAAGGACGGGTATACTATAAGACGGGTATTCACAACCTTTGTCTTTAGGAAGGGTATACTATAAGACGGGTATTCACAACCTTTGTCTTAAGGACGGGTATACTATAAGACGGGTATACGCAACCTTTGTCTTAAGGACGGGTATACTATAAGACGGGTATACACAACCTTTGTCTTAAGGACGGGTATACTATAAGACGGGTATTCACAACCTTTGTCTTAAGGACGGGTATACTATATGACGGGTATTCACAACCTTTGTCTTAAAGACGGGTATACTATAAGACGGGTATTCACAACCTTTGTCTTAAGGACGGGTATACTATAAGACGGGTATTCACAACCTTTGTCTTAAGGACGGGTATACTATAAGACGGGTATTCACAACCTTTGTCTTAAGGACGGGTATACTATAAGACGGGTATTCACAACCTTTGTCTTAAGGACGGGTATACTATAAGACGGGTATTCACAACCTTTGTCTTAAGGACGGGTATACTATAAGACGGGTATTCACAACCTTTGCCTTAAGACGGGTATACTATAAGACGGGATTCACAACCTTTGTCTTAAGGACGGGTATACTATAAGACGGGTATTCACAACCTTTGTCTTAAGGACGGGTATACTATAAGACGGGTATTCACAACCTTTGTCTTAAGGACGGGTATACTATAAGACGGGTATTCACAACCTTTGTCTTAAGGACAGGTATACTATAAGACGGGTATTCACAACCTTTGTCTTAAGGACGGGTATACTATAAGACGGGTATTCACAACCTTTGTCTTAAGGACGGGTATACTATAAGACGGGTATTCACAACCTTTGTCTTAAGGACGGGTTTACTATAAGACGGGTATTCACAACCTTTGCCTTAAGGACGGGTATACTATAAGACGGGTATTCACAACCTTTGCCTTAAGGACGGGTATACTATAAGACGGGTATTCACAACCTTTGTCTTAAGGACGGGTATACTATAAGACGGGTATACACAACCTTTGTCTTAAGGACGGGTATACTATAAGACGGGTATACACAACCTTTGTCTTAAGGACGGGTATACTATAAGACGGGTATTCACAACCTTTGTCTTAAGGTCGGGTATACTATAAGACGGGTATTCACAACCTTTGTCTTAAGGACGGGTATACTATAAGACGGGTATTCACAACCTTTGTCTTAAGGACGGGTATACTATAAGACGGGTATTCACAACCTTTGTCTTAAGGACGGGTATACTATATGACGGGTATTCACAACCTTTGTCTTAAGGACGGGTATACTATAAGACGGGTATTCACAACCTTTGTCTTAAGGACGGGTATACTATAAGACGGGTATTCACAACCTTTGTCTTAAGGACGGGTATACTATAAGACGGGTATACTATAAGACGGGTATTCACCACTGTTGTCTTTAGGACGGGTATACATAATATAGGACGTGTATACACAACCAACCGTATTATCTATTTGCCTATATGACGGGTATATCTGATTTATTGATACTTTTCAGCATTTGTATCATAATTTTGGGTCAAAATTAAGAAAACAACATTTCATTCTTAGTTTGTTCATTTTCCTCCCTAACAGTTAAGGTTTTGATACATTCTGTTAACATAGAATCAAAGATAAGGACCCATCTTCTAAAGTTAATTTCTGTACTTCTCAGAAATGTCCCAGGCAATAAATACACTGTCATTATACAGTTACAGATCTGACAGCGAAATGGTTAGTAATGTTTTTTTAGGAAAAGTAGCATAGCTGCACTAATACATGTGAAAAATTATGTTGTGAATAAATGACTTATCAAAGTGTAAGAATCTGCGATAGAAGTGCAAATAAGTTAAATGAAACATTATTTTGAATGCATTGGTTTTGTATTTTTCGCTTTTGAGTTCCTCTGAACAAGGTCAGTTATTAAGTCATAAAGTTAAATGGAACTATTTAAAGGCGTACTTTTATAGTATCCAAAAAGTTACTCACTGGCCAATTACCTGAACCATATTTTACATCTATTGTTTTTGAGCAATAAGAATATTTATAGTGAATATGGAAGTGTATGGAAGTCAAAATACTACTTTGTTTATATTTTGCTACTTTTATGGCAAATTATTTCACATTTATCACTACTTTTTCAGGTGACAAGAATCTAACATTCTCTCATAATTAAATTCATGTTTGTCATTTCTAAATAAATAAAAAAATATTT